CGATGCCCAGAGCATACTTAAATTATGGAGGGAACACTTTTCCAGCCTGCTGAATGGCAGTGAACGCACAACATCAGGAGAAGCGAACCCGATTCCCCATTTGATGACGATGGAGCAGACGTTTCCGACCATGAAGAAGTTCGAATAGCAATTACCCGCCTGAAGGACAACAAAGCGGCGGGTGCCGATGGATTGCCGGCCGAGCTATTCAAACACGGCGGCGAAGAACTGAGCATGCATCAGCTTCTTTGTAAAATATGGTCGGACAGAAGCATGCCCAACGATTGGAATTTAAGTGTGCTATGCCCACTACATAAAAGAGTAGAACAATGTCAGCCTGGTAATCCAACGCAGTATAACTCTTGCCAACAGGTGCTACTTCGGCAACAACTGATGAGTCGAGCTTTTCCACTGGTGAAAAACAGAATTTTTTTCCCTTACACTTTTAACAAAGGAAATTTTAACATTTTTGGAAAAAATTATGTTAAACTCAGGGACATACTTTCGGTGACCCCTCGGAAGAAAGATGCACCCCGTTGGGAGGATAACTGTTTACAGGATCATCTAAAGTGAAAAATTTCGAGTTTTAGAGAAAACTTCACCTTAAAACTTGGACGAACCAAATAGCCCACTTAATTTTTACAAAAAAAAAAAATAAAAATAAAAAAAACTTTCGTCTAAGGATCTGAAAACTCTGTGTAAAATTTCATGACAATCGGATGGGTAGTTCTGGAGAAATGTAGCCAAATCTTGATTTCAGAAACACAGTTTCGAGAAAAACGCGTGTGATTACAATAAAAGTGAGACACAAGTGCACATATCCTGAAAATTTGGAAAAATATTTCAGAGACGTTGTATAACTTAATAAAATAATAAACAAATTAATGTTTTTTAAATCCGTAAACTCATGTAACCCCTTAAAAGATTAAATTTTTTACACAACCTTTTAATTGCGGATTTTAACACATAAAAAATCGATTTTCTGAAGCAGGGAAAGAAAAATATTTGATTTCCGAGCGTACGTTAGTTATGGAGTTCTAACTGAATATTATTGATTATATTCAAACTTAACTTTATCAAAACTCTTCCAACCAATTAAGTGATTTTTTCTGTAGTGCATTTAAGTAGAGTATACTGTACTGATTATTTAAAGGTGCAAAAAGTATTTAGAAATTTAGACTTAAGTACATGTGTGCAAATTATATTTAATATCCATTGTTGCTATTTGGACTACTATATGAGATTTTTTAGATTAAATACTAAATCTAAAAATAAACATGAAATAAATACTATACAAGGTGTTCCAAACTAAACAGGACTTAAAAAAAAAAACAAAAGAACAAATTGGTTTTTGGCAAAATCAATTGATTTTATTTAAAATAGCCTCCTTCCAAAAGCATGTCGAACAAGTGTTTTAGCTCGTTGGTCGGTATGGCCGCCAGTATGCCGGTGCAAACCTTTCCAATGGCCTCTACGTCTGCATAACGTTTTCCTTTCATGGGCAAATGCATTTTTCCGAAAAGGAAGAAGACAAACGGTGCCATATCAGGAGAATAAGCGGAGTGATTAATGGTTAAAATGTGATTTTTTTTTTCAAATATTCGTCCTTCGAATATTGGATTCTGAGGAAATTTTGGTCGTCACGAACCTTTCGTAATAACAAATGTTCGGTCAAAATGCGATCCATGAATTGCAATGATGATTTCGGCTGATTTTTGATGAATTCACACACAGTTTCAATGGAATTTCCGATGAAAACGGATTTTGATTGGCCCATATGTTGATCGTCGTTTATGTCCTCACGACCACTTTGAAAACGTTCAAGCCACTGGTACACTTTGCTACGGCATAGGCAATCATCGCCATAAACTTGTTTCATCAGTCGAAACGTTTCGGTAACAGTTTTAACAATTTTAAAACAAAATCTAATGTTGGCTCTTTGTTCGAAGTTCATTTTCGCACCGGTAACACAAACATACTGACACTTGAAACGCAATAACTTCACTTCCAATCAATGGAATGTTTTCTCACTGGATAATCGACACAGGCAGCAGGTTCTAACGTATCAGTCAACATATAGATGGCGCCACCAGGAGGCGCTAGATTCAAAAAGGCCTGTTTACTTTGGAACACACCTTATAACTACATATACTCGTACACCTTTACAGGGTTAAATTAAGTACGAAACATCATCACAAAATTTTCGTTATTAAGGCTAAGGCAACGCTCTTTTCGAATAGTTGTACTCCGTACAGTGATCGGTTTGGACGTGGTACACACACATTGTCCTATTTAAAGCTCTCTTAGTCAAATTAAGTAAAAATTGTTGAGTGTAAAAAATATAAACTTACAAAAACAAGATGTCAGCGATAACAAAAGTGAATATAAATGATCCTGCGGAAACCTCGAAAAGTGCAACGGAAACTATTAATAATGGTGCTGCAGCTAAAGGTGCAACGAATGCTGAGGGTCAACTCCCCGAATGGCTGAAAGCAGAACTATTTGCAGATCTGCTGCAGCAAAACGTACCAAATTTTAAGAGAATTACAAATTTCATAGCCGAAATCTGGGAAGGCGCTGGCGAAAATTACGGCAATGTCTTGGCATCGGTGAATTTAGACGCAGAGCTTGAAGGCAAGTAAAAATTAGTTTATTGCACTATATGTGGGAGCATATAAAATTGACTTTTCCAATTTATTTGTTCGTATTTTAGATGGAAAAATACAAAATTTCTCATATGTGATCAAACTGCCCATCGACTCGGTGCAGGAATTTATGGCGAATTATCATAACATAATTGATACAGAAAATGCCATCTATAAAGATGTGATACCGGAAATAGAGCAAATGTATAGAGATGCGGGTGTTGACTTGAAATTCGGAACAAAATATTTTGATCTAAAGACACCATCCAAATACGGTGTTGTACTCATGGAGGATTTACGTCCCCATGGTTTCAAAAATGTTAACCGTCTTGAGGGTTTCGACGTGGAGCACACCAAGGCCGCATTGAAAAAGTTGGCACAATGGCACGCCGCATCAGCGGTGCGTGTTGAAACCAAAGGGCAATATCCGAAAGTAGTTACTGATGGAATATTTAACGAGGGCATGTTAACAATGATCGAATTGATGGCTGAATTAACGATGCCATTATATTTGGAATGTGTTCGCACATATGAGGGCCATGAAGAGTACTACGATAGTTTGGTATGTATCGAGCTTTAGCTTCTTCTAAATCTTTTTTTATTCTATTGTTTTTTGCTGTTTTTTATTTTAGCAACGAAGCCATGAGTATTTTGCCGAAGAACTTCGTCCGCTGCTGGAAAACGATCCAAATGAGTTCAATGTTTTAAATCATGGTGACTTTTGGGCGAACAATGTTATGTTTCAATATGATGACGCAGGTAAAGTGAAGGAAACATATTTCGTTGACTTTCAGTTGACGCGTTATGGTTCACCGATGATTGATCTATATACTTTGCTGTTAACGTCAACGAGCCTGGATGTGAAACTAAAGTATTTCGATTATTTCATTAAATATTATCATGATAATTTGATTGAGTACTTAACAYTACTGAAATATCCCAAAAAATTACCCACCCTTAAGGAAATCCATATAGCCATGCTCAAATATGGCATTTTCGGTGAGTAAAATGTGAAATACCAAATGAGCTTTATTATCTCTGTAATATTCTTTGTTTTTTCTTCACAGCGGTGAACTTGGTTGTTAGTCACTTGTCCCTCGTATTGCTTGAATCAAAGGGAGGAGCTAATATAACCAATTTAATGGGCATGACAGAAGAAGGCATGGCTCTTAAAAAGGTGATGTATACAAATTCACGTTATCGGAAACACATTGAGGTACTTCTTCCTTGGCTTTATAATCGAGGTGCTTTCTAGTGACCATGGTATTTTGGTCTAATGAAGAGAGCTAATTGGAAAACACTTTATGTATTTAAATGTAAAAGACAAAATAAAAATAAATAAAAACGCTAATAAGGATATTAAGTTTAAAATAATATTTTGTGTAAGTTTTTACTAACGGTATCAAGCTTTATTGACATTTTATGGGCCGAAGTGGAGAAACTAGATATGGATGAAATCACATCAAAATATGGCGTTGACATTTTGCTAGATTATGGGCGAAAGGCGGCAACGCATTCACAACAAATCAGAAGTGACATCTAACTTAGAAAAATATCGAAATAACAGCAGTGTTGATAAAAAGATCTATTATAATTTGAGATATACAGAAATATTTTCGAAATATTAGATGGAAACAAAGAAGGAAATGCGTACAATTTCAAACTAATTCTTCGCCAAAACTAATAGAATTGCCAAATACCACGAGCATCCCAAAAGACTGAGGCCAAAAGCCGGGCAGCCGAATTTTTTGTCTTTCCACGCTTGAGAACCGGTTCATCATGTGCAGTCCACTAGGCTCACTGCCGATTGGACTCCAGTTTCTAACACAAGTTACTTCATCCAAAATGCTATATTTCATTAACTAATAGTCCCTCAGTTGCCAAATTTGTATACGTATCTCTTAAAGGTAGAGGCTGACTAGAAATTATGTGGAGGATATTTGTAGTACCATCTATGTATCAGCCACAGTAAAGCGTGGTATAAAATAAATAGCTGCTAGGTGTCCTTATATCTTCTTCACGAAAGTTTAAGAGATTAAAAAAATGTTGGAAGAGGAGGGCCTTCACTTCGTTGGACATCTTGGAATCTCCAATTGGCTCCAAGTAGCTAAAATAAGAAGCGACTGGCGCGCTGTTGTTAATTCGGCTATAATCACGTAAGCTGTGTCTACGCCAATTACTAAGAAGAAGAAAATCTATAACCAAATCTAAAAGATTGTTCTACATTTTTAAGTAGTTCCGAGTAATAGTTTCGGAGATACAGCCTTAGGAACCTGTGCGCTCGAGTCTAGCTAGGCTAAGTGCGCCGTCTTTAAACGCGTTTTTCTCGAAACTCCTTTTTTGAGTCGGTTGGCAAGATTTCTAGAGAACTACTCAATCGACTTTCATGAAATTTTACACAAATTTTTGAGATACAATCCTTATAGACTTGGACAAAGGATTTTTCTTGTTTTTCGAATACAACTATTTGAAAAAAAAAAAAAAATCGCGAAATTTTCACAGAAATTTTTTTTTTGTAAAAATGTCCGCCAAAAATCCAAATTTCAGTTTTTTTTCTTTCGCCCAAGTTCTAAGTTAAAATTTTAACTAGAACACATATTTTTGCAGTTTAGACGATGTTGTAAAGAGTCATCATCCTGCCAACGTGTGTAGGGGTCACCGGAAATGGCGTCGCAATGACCGAGTTTAAAATATTCTTCTCCATAAATTTCACCTTTGTCAATGCTAGGTGTTTGTAACAATAAAATATTTAATTTTATGAGGAAAAAATGTTTAAAAAAATTCAGATTTTACCCGAGGAAATAATGAGTATAAGTCACCTGAATAATAAAAATAGATTTATCAAAAAATGGGCAAACTAACTTAAGTCGCGTGGGAGAAACCGGTTTTATATCCATAAGATTGAAAAAAACAAGGCCACTTATATTTCATGTTAACAACATAAACAAACATACCGGTAAACAAAATAAAACTGAGAACTACTTATTGACATAGTTACGCCCCTTCACAATAGAAAGAGATTCGTTTAAATGATAGATACTCACATCTATTTTGTACAATTTTTTACTAACTTTCTGAAAAAGACCGTCATTTTCTCTTGCCAAAAATTGTTAGCTCCATAGCTTTATTCAAAAGTAATAGTGACAAGAGATATAAGGTAATCCCTTTAGCAGCAGCAATATAAATTTCGAGCTCAATTTTTAAGAGCTCAAATATAAACACTATCTGAATTAGCTTTGAACTTTGTTTTCTTCTTTTAGTATTTAAGTTTCTACTCAATGACCAAATATGCTACATGTTTATATGTAAGGCTCTCATGAACATTATTTTAGACTCTTAATTGCTATCAAAAAAGAAAAAGTTCTCCGCAGCGATAAAACGCATCCTAATGTGTTGAATACAATGCTCGCGACAGACTGCAGCAGCGCGACAGTGAACTGAAAATGGCGTTGTGAATTCTACTACATAAACGTTTGTGAGAGGGCAGCAACATAACAATGGCCGACATGTACACAAAACAACGCAGTTGTCCATTTTGCATGTACACAATTTCGTTGTGGCCATACTAATACCTTGCACTTCAATGAAATTTTAATATTTTGTTCAAAGTGAAATTTTTAAGCAAGAAATAAGTAAATAGGTAAATTTATTTGTTTTAAATTATCAATTGTTATTATAAATGATGTAACATAGCTATGTTATGCTTTTATTTATAAAATAACGTCAGGTTTGTTAGAGCTTTGAGTAATTTTACATTTTACATATTAGTGGCATCACCACTCTACCTCATCTCTCTATCTTCCATTCTACTGTTAACTCTACTGTCGTTGGCAAATATAAGATCAAATTGAAGTTAGCGAGAACGACAACTGTCGGTCTGCAGTCGTGCAGTCGTGCAGCTGTCAAAATAGGTCCGTCCATAAGAACGTGTGTATTTTAGTATTTGACAGTTGTTGTTTGCAGTCTGTCGCGAGCATTGTATTCCACACATAAAGCTTTACCGAATTTTCAGACATTCGATATCTATGAGCGTACCTAGGTAAGTATGAGCAATTGATGCAACGGAAGTAAGTTCTGCTAATTAATACGCCATATAGATAAATGCTAACGCAAAGCTTTTTAGAAAAGTTCTAAGTTCTTTTCGAGTTCTTTTAAGTGCGTTAAAAATTTCACAGTGCGAGCGGCACACGCTGCTGGCGAAAATTATGCCACATTCATGGGCTTAGTGAATATTGACGTAGAGCTGGAGTGTAAGTGAATAATATATTAATTTTTGTTAAAAAAAAAAAAAACAATTGAAAAACAAAATATTTTTGGGTGTTCTAGGTGGTACTTCAAAGCAGGTGTTGTACATGATAAAGTTACCCATTGAGTCCGTACAAAAACTCTTTGTCGGTCATAATATTTTGATACGGAATACACCATGTATAGTGATGTGATAACGGGTTGGAGTAAATGTGTAGTGAAGTGACTGTTGATGTGAAATTCTCACCACAATATTATGATATAGAGACACCATCCGAATTCGGTCTTATACTCAGGGAGGATTATGTCCGCGTATTTCGTCGATTTTCAGTGCGTGTGTTATCGTTCACAGGGGAATGATTTCCATTGTTTATATCTTCCTTCAGGAGCGAAAAGCTTTAATTACTTTATTAAGTACTATCATGACAATTTGATTGAGTGTTTAAAACTGCTCAAATACCGAAAGAAATTATCAACCTTGAAAGATAATCTTATAGCGCTTTATAAGTACGGCACGTGGGGTGAGTGAGCAGTTTAATTGAGATTTGAAGTAGTTTGCTATAATATAATGCTAAATGTACTTCAGGTCTATATGGGCTTATGGGTCATACGTCCACTGTGCTTGTCGCCTGAGGGTGATGAGCTTAATTATAATATTATATAACGATCTATTTTAGTTGTTTCCCTCTCTCTCAGCCAACCAACAAGAATAGCCTTCACGTTGCCTAAAAATAATGATGTAATCTGAATAATAATATCAAATACTGTACTATTTTTTCTGTTATCCCGAATATAAAAAGTTGAAATACACTAAAATTGAGTTAAATTTCTAAAACATTTTACAGTCATTCCTTAAGCATATGGGTTTGTTCTTAAGCTAAAATTTTCATCAAACAATTCAGCAACACTGTACTTATAGACACTTATAAGTTCTTTACAACCTTAAGTAAATCGGTTAGTAAAGTATGGATGGTTTTTGGGTTCTTTAATTCTACTTTCTTATTTGTACAAAAACTTTTCTCTTGTAACAAATCTTAATGACTGGTTTGGAACGTCTTTTTCCTAAATAAAGTTCAACTCTCCTTACTTTTTGGCAAGACACGTCCACAGCTGATACCCAGTTGTTGAAAGGATAATAAAAAGAAAATCGACACTTCACTGTCGAAAATTAGTATTTGCCTTTGACCAAAAAATATCAGAAAGGATGCGCAAACTGCCAAACTTGCCAAAACCGAGTTTTGGGGGGCTTATAAGCTCAACGAATTGAATTTGCAAATCATTCCAGTAAATCTTAATGTATATGTACATACACACACTCGAAATGGTAATAGCGGTCAATTTATCTCTTAACCAAATTTCAAAAAAAGTTTTCAAAAATATCAAACTCTCTAAATGACATGCATTATTACTAAATATTACCACAAAATTTACGTTATTCGTGCTAAGGCAAAGCTCTTTTAGTATAGTTACACTCCGCACAGAGATCGGTTTAGACGTGCTACGCACACATTATATTCTTTAAAACTCTCTTAGTCAAATTAAGTGAAAATACTTGAGTGAACAAAGCATAAACTTACAAAAGCAATTTGTCAGCGACAACAGAAGTGTGTACAAATGATACTGCGTAAACCTTGAAAAGTGCAACAACTACTAATAATGGTGCTGCAGCCAAAGTTGCAACGAATGCTAAGGGTCGATTCCCCGAATCGCTGAATGAGGATCTATTTGCAGATCTGCTGCAGAAAAATGTACCAAATTTTAAGAGCATTAAAAATTTCACHGCCAAAGTCTCGGAAGGCGCTGGCGAAAATTTCGTCGCACTCTTGGCATCGGTGAATTTAGACGCAGAACTTGAAGGTAAGTAAAAATTAATTTATTGCACTACTTGTGGGAGCTTATAAGATTGCAAAAGTCTATTTCTTCGTATTTTAGATGGAGAAACAAAGAATTTGTCATTTATGATCAAACTGCCGACCGACGCGGTGCAGGAATTAATGGCGAATAGTAATAATATAATTGATACAAAAAATGCCATCTATAAAGATGTGATACCGGAAATGGAGCAAATGTATAGAGATGCATGTGTTAACGTGAA